GTCGTCTATGGAGAGTAAAACAGTGAACAGTGTGTGTTTGTCAGTTTGCCCAACATCTAATTATCTTACTGATGGTTCTCTTTCCTGCAGAGAGAAGGCGTTCCCGCTCAGCTTCACGGGACCGTGAGCGAAGGCGGAGGGAGAGGGAACGCTCTCGTTCTCGTGATCGGGACCGAGAACGTCGGAGAAGTCGCTCTCGCTCTCCTCACAGGAGGCGTTCAAGGTGAGGATGCACTCAATAACAAACAATGGTATGTGTGTATGTTTTTTTCTCAGCAGGAATTGTGTCGTGTGTGACTATTGATTCCAAACATCAGACACACCTGAGTGAAGAGCTGCGTGCTTCACTTCACACACATTCATCTGCAACCTAAAAAGATTTTTTAAAACAATTGTTATCACTCTCAGATGCGTTATTGACTCGTAACCTGTACTGAAGCCATCTTTGTGCTCCCTCAGCAGGTCTCCTCCTAGACGTCACCGCTCCTCCTCCCTCTCTCCGTCAAGACAAAAAGACCGAGACGAGCGCAAAGACGGGAAGGAAAAGGCGTCGAAACCCATTCAGATCTCAGGTATTAGACATATGTTATGACCCCCTATGTCTTATATAAATAAGGAAGAAATGCATCTTTTTAAAAAAAAAATCAAAATTCAACACCTCTTTCTGTTCTACAGCTGAAGACATGCAAGGCAAGACAGAGGAGGAGATAGAGATGATGAAACTGATGGGCTTTTCTACGTTTGACAGCACCAAGGTGAGGGTGTCATATGTTGTACCGCCACAGGGGGGTGCAGTTTATTCCAAACTGGGATTCTACAGTACATCTTTACTGAAGGTTGTCATGATACTGTTGTTTACATTGATGTTGGTGGGCCTGCTGTCTAAACTCTGATTTTTAACAAAGGTGAATATCTATGACATCAGAGCGTTATAGAGTCTCAGTGCACGTTGCCTCATCACATTGTGCTCACTAAAATGTGTTCCTGCCCTCTCCATGTTTTATTGATGGCCTGATGAAGGTCTTTCTTTGTCACAGTATTCATCGCCCTGAAACAACAATCTGAATTTGAAAGTTCAAGTGAGGGAGAACCTTAGTTGTAGGTAGGTGCAGTTTGATCTTTGAAGTCAGGGGTGCACAAAAGATGAAATCTAGAGGATGACATGTAGGCAAAGTGTCATGTCCCAGCTCATAGTCCATTGAGTGACCAAATGGAAACCTGGAAACTGAATCAACCCAAAAATCCCAACATGAACCAAATACAGATGACGGCTATAAGCGTGTCTGCACCACTCGTTAAAAAACCAGCCCGACACATCTCTACCCTGTTACTAAAAGCCGTGTTAAGGAAACACTCAAGGCAACGGAAAACAAAATAATTTGTCAAACGCTTTCAAAACGTTCAGCACCAAGGACAGCGCATGTCACTTCAGACGTATCGATTAAAGCTGTTCTCACATCTACGCACCGCAGTAAACATCAAGTAAACCATACAACATAATTACACTGATTTAATCTTAGATGAATCATTGCCATTGATTTTAGCCCCCATGTGACCCTGCTCAGTCCGCTTTATTTAGTTGTAGTTTGTATGTGTACTGCTACGTTGGGTTTATCCTGACGCCCCTTTTTTCTCTTTTTCTCTTTTTCTCTCTGTGGCTCGCGTACACATGGACGGGGAGGGGGCTCTACGAGGCACTGGTTGTTTCTTAACAGATAATCCTTTAGTTTTTAGTTCTCTTTTTCTCCCTCAGCAGAGCTCGTTAGTTTTACAAAGTGGAGATAACGGTGCTTTAATAATATCCACAGCTATGATTGAAATGTTGACCTTTGACTTGTGTCCACACCGGTGAAAAACTTTATTCAGCTCACCCTGAGACTTTTATTGACAAGCCTCTGCCTGTTGTGATTTGACTCATCAGCTCGCCAATACAAAACACCACACTTCAGTTTGTCCACCTTCAAAATAAAAGCACTAGATGTCATGTTAAGTATTTAACAGATGCAGTGTGGACAGCGAGCATTAGATGCTGCAACATGATATCTAAGACTTGTTAGTAGACGGTGTAACATATGAGACTTCTCTGGATGGGTTTGTAGATTTGTTTTTGGGCTGAAAAAATGAAGGAACCACCAGACAAAGCCTCGTATTAAACAGACAAATCCAGTTGAGCAGCTCTGCGTGAATCATCATCCTTCACAAAAGAAGTCAAAAAGTGACTTTTATAAGACAAGCTCCATGGCTAATATCATGTTTAATTTACATCATAAACTCTACAGTTCAGTCCTTCCAGCGTCTTTAAGTGTGTCGTGGTTTTCATTTGAGTCTGAGCAGCTTTAAGAGTTTCACTGTGAAGCAGCCGAAATGAGATGAGATTCAACTCCATCAGAACTCCATCAGCTCATTTTTTCTTAGTCCTTTTTATTAAAACAAACACCAGAGCGTTACGATGTGCAGTGTTTCCTCTACCATTATGTTAGGGGGGCGGCCCTGCCCCCCTTGAAGGTCAAGTAAAAAAAAATATTTATTTTTGGTCTTCTTGTGTCTTTATTGTAGAGATAGGATAGTGGATAGAGTCGGAAATCAGGGAAAGAAGTCATTTAAGGATACCTTTCCGATAGAAAAGGACAGCTGTCATTAAAAGTAACACATGAACATCAAGATTCCTTCAAGTGTTTGTGTCGGCGTGTCCCCCCCCAAAGCTGTAAACCTAGGGGAAACACTGATGTGTACATTTGGTGATTGACAATTTAGTCTTTAGATAGATAGACATTGAATACACCTTTGAGTGGTTTCACACTGGAGACCCGGGGATGGATCAGTGTACACTTGACCCCAAAGTCTGGTTCTTACCAGACTTATCGTACAAACATACCGTACTTGGGTACAGTGCCTGAGTCCTCTTGAAGAAGAGGTCAGGGGCAAGATTCATGTGTTCACTCGAGTACCGCTCACAGGAGATGTGAACGCAACCGTACTCAAACCAGGAAGTGGACTGACGTAATTCTAAATGTCTCCTGTCGCCTCAAAAACGTCATATCAGCGCAGCACTGACCTGCACAGTAGATGTGGATGTAGGAAGAGGGTCAGTGTTGGTGTCTCAGAAATAAAAAAAATAAAAACCATCCAGTTAGCAAAGTCAATCTGTGAGTGGTTGCCATGGTTTCTTTTTTTCTTTTTTTTGCTTCTTGGCAAACTAACTATGTGCATACTTCCACCTGCTGTGTCCGATGTGTGCGCATGTATACTCGGCTACATAACGATGTTATTAATATGAACGCAGACCAGCAGGGGAGGGGGACACGGTACAAGGCAGGACGAGACCCTCCTCTACAGTTCTATCTCTGACGTTTGCATTGACTTTAAATGTTTTGAAAAAGTTTTGTCTTTCAATGTTTTTTTTTTTTCTAACAATGTGTTGAACAAACGTTGTCTTCAAACAGGGGAAGAAAAGCGCCGCAGCGGCCAATGCACACGCCATCAACGTGAGCATGAAGAGGAAATACAGGTACGTAAACAAGACGACTGTGCAGCATCTGAAACTCTGCTGACATGACCACCACACACACACACACACACACACACACAGAGTCACCTGAGATACACTGAAGAGATCTTTATGAAGTAACTCTTTGAACTTCCTGTGTTGATCGGGGGGGGGGTGAGCCCTTTAAGAGTCAACCTGTCTTATTGTAGCCAATCACCTCTGCAGGTGTTTCTATGCAGACATCCCGGTTCTCCCATTGGTGCTCGGTGATGTAATCTGCAAGTGTTGCGACGGTAACAGTGACGCAATGTGTTTTTTTCCCCCACCTTATATATTTATTATTATTTCAGGCAGTACATGAACAGGAAAGGAGGATTCAACAGGCCGCTGGACTTCATCGCTTAGAAGACTCACCAGCTCACAGTGACCCCCCCCCCCCCCCCCCCGAGAAGATCATTTCTCCCCTCGAAGTCGTGAATAATCAACTGTTGTTTACTGCTCTTTTTTTTTTTTTCTTTCTGTGTTGTGTTATGTTGTGCATCAGACCTGTAAATAACTTTGAAGGTAAACATACATGTAAATAACTGCTTTCTGTTTGCCACAGCTGGATATTATTGATAGGAGAGCTGTAGTGTCTGGATCTGGTTATTTGAAATAAACCCTTTTTAAAAGTGTGTGTGGTTGTAGTCCTTTTTATATGAGAAATATTTATAAATATTTTGGCATCATTTTGCCTCTTACAAATGCAGGTTACAGTGTTACTGTAGATGTCCTGATACATGACTGAACATCTGTAAATGCATGAATGTGATATTAGTGTTGGAGAGCCGGGGCAACAGGCTTCAATCTGAGGATTTAGATGGTTTTTGTATCATTGTTAAAATAGCTGGAATAGCTTCATGTAATCTAATACACATAGTTCCAGATAAATGAATGGGTAAGGCTGATTCCTCATCCGGGGTAAAAGACTGAGAAGCATCTTTATGAGGATGAACTTGTGTCGGGTTGTTTTTAATGGGTGTCCCTGGTTTTTACATCCTCAGTTTGTTGCAGGCATTTTAATGCTATCATGTCACACGGGAAGACTCGTGTTGCGCATGTGCGAAGATATGACAAGCGGTGAACCAATAGCAAACGAGCATGTGAATCTGGCCAATCGCTGAATGGGAAATAAGAAAACACCACAGAAGCCAATCATTGCAATACACCGCGAAACAAACAGCATGGCAGAGGGGGCGTGTCTTCAGTCGGCGGGCGTTGTCTCTTAAGCTCGTGCGCATTGTGACCAATAGCGAACAAGTTAGTCATAAAGCAACCAATGACGTTGCTCGAGTGTGTATCCATTGTGGCTCTCGAGTGTAGCTCATCCAATGGGAATTAGAACCAAAATGGCTGAAGCAGGCAGCCAGTTGCAGTCAAAGGTGGGTGCCCCCCCCTCTCGGCGAGCGACGGCTTTAACGTCCAATAGAAGCGCGATACGCTATTTCCAGTAGCCAATCATATCACAGCATACTGAAGCTTTTGAGGTACAGTAGTTGTGCTGTCGTCCTGATCAACAAGCCACTATTTTGGAAGCAGTTTGATAAACACTAGCTGGTTCTCCGTCGATGTCAATCGCTTATCTGCGATCTCAACGAGACGTGACAACTGAAACTATCCGGCATCGTCGTCCTGACTCAGTGTGAGGAAGAAAACGACGGTTTAACTTTTAAACAGACAGCTCGTTTTTCTCCGTGATATCAGAGCTCGTCGTCCGTGACAACCGAGCACAGAAACGGAGCTGACAGCGGGGTTCAATTCTGTTTTTTTTGTGTGATATTTTTAAAACGGCTAAGAACTTTTGACACTTTCTTGTCGCTAACGAAAGCCAAACAGAACAACAGCCGGCGTGTTTTTATTTTTTGTTACATGTCAGTCCACTATACTGTTTCTATTTGACAGCTAGCTGTTTTTTTTTGTCGACTGAATTTTGAACCATTAGCGTTAAGCCAATCAAGAAGGCAGAGCTGTGTTGCCATAGAAACAATCTTAAAGGAACGAGAGCGCTCTGATGTTGTGACGTTTGTTACAACCGTTAACTTTTAAAAAAACAGAACCCGTTTGTTACGCTGCAGGAGTTAACGGTTACACGTTACTGAAAATATTCAACTGAGTCACAGGAGCTGAAGCAGCCGGCTGTGTACATCCACGGGATCCCTCATCATCGGATTTTTTTTTATTATCATAACAATATCTGTGTTTTATTGTTAAAAATGGCGGCGATTGGACTGGTGCAGATGTTGATCGAAGCAGCCGAGTACCTCGATCGCAGGGAGCGAGGTAAAGTGTCATCAGATTGCTCTGTGTTGTTTTCCTGTGACATAACAAGAATGCAAATCACCCACGTTAATGCACACGTCTTTAAACCCCACAGCAGCTGTTTGGTGTCTTAAATGAAAGAATCGGGTCATGCATCAGATATAGAAATGATGAAGGATTGTGCACAACAAACCACCTACACACGCAGTATGTGCTCATCAGTCTGCAGGCATGTTTTGGGGATCAACTGCAAAAGTGAAAATAATACCCATGTTGTTTTTTTTTGTTTTTTTTGATGCATGCATATGTGGCAGCTGCAGTCAGATGTGCAGGGAGACATTGTTTTCATGATGGCCCCTCCTTTCCCTCTGTTGTGGTTTGCTGCTGGGGTTTATTTCAGTTCAAGATGACATCATGGTCCAGGCTGAGGGAGAAAACACCAGAGAAAAAAAGCTACTGCAGGGAATCCATTCATTGCATTCCTGCGCTGAAGCAAAAGAGCATTGCTGCTGAGTTTAAAATATTAAAAACGATTCCCTGTTGGTTGGGCTTCCTTTCCACTGTGGCTGTGTGTGTGTGTGTCATTTGCCTGATATCACAAACATGTGACCACTATGTTGTTTGTTTGTTTGCTTGCAGAAGCTGAACACGGCTATGCCTCCATGCCACCCTTCATCAGCAGCCGAGAGACGGAGAGCTTGAAAAGAAAGAGCAAAAGCAAGAAAAACACAAGTAGCAGGTAAAGGCCATTTGGCTCCTTGTGGGCAAAAAAATGTTTCCAGCGTCATTATTCAGCTTGGCAACAACAAAGCGCCCCATATCCCTACTGAGTGCAGAAGGATTAATCTGTTATTCCCTCCATTTCTTCTCCTCATAGTCTCATTTTCCCTTTGGGATAAAGAAATCATATTTTGCATTGTTTTTTTTTTTGCGCAGTTTTTTTGTGGCTTTGAAAATCTATTTCCTACCTGTGATATAACATTCAGCTCCTCTCCCACTACAATGAAAGGGTTATAATAATAACATGATACAGGCACAAAAAATTACATTGATTTCTAACACCAGTGCACAAACATTTGAAGCGTGTCATGGCAGTGTGTGTGTTGGTGCCTACATGACTCCTCTCCTTAAAGCCGTGTTTTCACTTCCTCTCGCCTTCTTTGAAGTGTGTGTATGACTGACAGCAGCAAACATCAGTCTTTGTTCCATAGTGAATGGCCACTCAGTGAAGGCAAAGTGGGTCAGTCAAGGTGACTGCAGAAGCCATGTCAGTGAGGGGAGGGAGGGAGGGGGGGCATGTCCTGATAACTCCAGACACGTCGTCAGAAACAAATAGTGTACATGCAGAGCCTGTGACCAGCAGTCCTTGAATCGGTCACATGAGGACACATACGTGTTACATCCACACCGATCGATGTGTGCTCATCAGGTATCAGGATTTTAGATCTCGATATGAAGAAGTGAGTTAATGCAGTCCCAGCCGGACTTCATGGCGTTTGTTATTAGCAGCACACGAGAAGCTCGGATAGAAATGCCAGGAAAAAAAAAAGATCCAATTAGTGTAAAAACAGAAAATTCATGTTTGGCAGACAAGATGAAAATATGGAGAGATTGTAATAAAGGCCGAAGAAAATAGATTTCTTTTGGGGTGACATTAGGGGGGCCTGTTTCTTCAGCAGATTCAACATTTAAAATGTGTTGCCCCTCACCACCGAGTGCCTCTTTTTCATCAGGGAGATAAACAAGTCAAAGTCAAAGATAAATCCCCCGCACAACACGTCGCGAGGCAATCGATTAAAGCGTACAATCCAAACAACTTGTTCGGTGGGACGCAGCGGCAGCAGTGAAATATTTTTGATGTAGCATAGCAACAGGAGCACTTTAGAGAAATAGTCAGGTCATATAAGGGGAGCTGTTAACCCTTTCAGTGTAGACTTGTGCATGTGGACTAGTCTAGCTCTGTCAATCACACACACACACACACTCCCACTGGGCAGAAGGCATTCCTCTGCCAGCTTCATGTGTTGAAATAAGCACATGCAGCACATGAGAGGTGAAGCATATAAATAGGTATCCACAGGCCTCTTACCTTCTGTAACCCAATGTACATCCAGCTCCACCATCTGTGATCTCTGAGATGGCTGCACTAAGTCATTAAATATGCTGTAAAGATGGCCGCCGGATATCTGATGATCGCTCCGTTTGCAAACTTTAATCCATTTTTATGAAGGTGTCTGAATCTGAAAGTGTGTGTTAGATAGATACTTTATTGATCCCGAGGGAAATTCAAAGCATCCAGTAGCAGGTTACAAAGACATGACATGAAACATTTGTTACAAATGAACCACAAAACCGACCCCCCCCATACATATATATTAACCTGAAAAAGAGATTTAAAGAGTACCCCTAGATGAATCCATTTTTTTAGCAATGTTTAAAAAGAAGGAGGATATATGTGTCTTTAACTCCACCCTCTGATGAAGAGGACATGTTGGTTCAGCCACAGAGAACGGTCGTCCACATCTCTGCAGGTGCACCATGTACGCCTTTTCCAACACGCAAACTGGTACGACAAGTCCCACCAGTTTAGCCACCAGGTCGTTTGACGGTGGTCCTGAAGTGTCTCCAAATGTTCAGAACTCAATGTATGGAGCAGACGAGGTGAAGCATGTATACAGGGCTTATAAATAGGGTCATGTATGGACTTGTTCCCCCTCGTAACCCAATATGTTTAAGATGCTTTATTATCAGCTGATCGTAGGTTAACTGCTCCTGACATGTGAGGCGTCCATACCTTCATATCAATCAAAGAAGTGAGTGGACTGCTGCTAATGCTACTCTCATTTCTGGTTGATCTCTTCATGATTTTCTCATTTAATTGTTGCGTTTAAAAAAAACGTTATTATTAGCGTCATGATTAGTGACGCAGCAAGTTGCACGATTCACACATCGATGAGTCCACCCAGTGAATGAAAGAAAGAGAAAGGTTAAACATTTCTTTCTTCTAAATGACCAAACGATAAGTACTGTGGCGGCTAAGATTGAAGAACGCTGCACAGAGACGTGGGGCTCTACCTGTGACCTCATTCATATCAGAATACAACTCAAAGTCCGGACTAACGATTGTTGATTTTATTCAACAAAAGAGTGAAAAATAATTCTTAACAAACGTCCAAGAGATGATGCTAATTAGTTAGTAAATATGCAAACCCGCTCGCTCTCTTTTTGTCTGCCTCCAGCCGCTTAACTGAACAGGTGAGATAAGGTCAAACCACGCCAACTGCAAATTTCTGGAAAATTTCATCAAACCACCAATGAATTGACTAATTAGATGATCGTTTAAAAAAAATCTGCTCTTTGAAAGGAGCTGAACTCCATCATGTGGGTAAAGAAATGTCAGCTGATCCTTAGGTGGAGGTCGTTTGTGCAGCGTCCTGAACAGGGGGGCAGGATGTGCAGCGTGTAGAGCTCAGAAGACGCCTCGACATGCTTAAGGAAGCTCTTTATTTTTAGGCACGCGTGGTGAAGACAGTGTGTGGGAGCAGCTCAGTGTGTGTGTGTGTGTGGAGTAGACCACTAGCTGCTGCAGACTCCTCCTTGTTTGCTGTCATTAAAACCTTTAAGCTTAGCGGCCTTCACGGCGACCGTTTGCTGTTGTTTAACTTGGAGGTTATGTCGGGCTGCAGCTGTGAGCACTTTATCAGCCGCTACTCATCACTACTGAAGGGCAGCACAAGCACTCCTGATATGAAGAAAGGTTTCTGCTCTGACCCTCAACACGCAGACCAGCTCTGTTGTCACTGGTGGAAAAGTGATTCTTTAATTGATCTGAAATGTAGGCCAGGCAGCCATGTTTGTTTGAAGTCAAGTCACACCAGCCCTCCCAGTTTCTCTTGTTTTCCCCGTGGTGTGGACTTATGAGTAGTGGGGGAAGGGAGTCACCCTGTCTATACAGTTGCAAGAAAAAGTATGTGAACCCTTTGGAATTTCTTGGTTTTCTGCATAAATTGGTCATAAAATATGTTCTGATCTTCACCGAAGTCACAACAATAGAATAACACAGTCTGCTTAAACTAAAACCACACAAACAATTGTATGTTTTCATGTTTTTGTTGAACACAACATGTAAACATTCACAGTGCAGCGTGGAAAAAGTACGTGAACCCTTGGATTTAATAACTTGTTGACCCTCCTTTGGCAGCAATAACCTCAACCAAACATTTCCTGTAGTTGCAGATCAGACCTGCACAACGGTCAGGAGGAATTTTGGACCATTCCTCTTTACAAAACTTTTTCAGTTCAGCAATATTCTTGGGAAGTCTGGTGTGAATCGCTTGTCCTGTTGCATCACCCATCTTCTGTTGAGCTTCAGTTGGTGGACAGATGGCCTTAAGTTTTCCTGCAAAATGTCTTGATAAACTTGGGAATTCATTTTTCCGTCGATGATAGCAATCTGTCCAGGCCCTGATGCAGTAAAGCAGCCCCAAACCATGATGCCCCCTCCACCATACTTCACAGTTGGGATGAGGTTTTGATGTTGGTGTGCTGTGCCTTTTTTTCTCCACACATAGTGTTGTGTGTTCCTTCCAAACAACTCAACTTTGGTTTCATCTGTCCACAGGATGTTTTGCCAGTAGTGCTGTGGAACATCCAGGTGCTCTTTTGCAAACTTCAAACATGCAGCAATGTGTTTTTTAGACAGCAGTGGCTTTCTCCGTGGTGTCCTCCCATGAACTCCATTCTTGTTTAGTGTTTTATGTATCGTAGATTCATCAACAGAGATGTTAGCATGTGCCAGAGATTTGTGTAAGTCTTTAGCTGACACTCTAGGATTCTTCTTCACCTCATTGAGCATTCTGCACTGTGCTCTTGCAGTCATCTTTACAGGACGGCCACTTCTAGGGAGAGTAGCAACAGTGCTGAACTTTCTCCATTTATAGACCATTTGTCTTACCGTGGACTGATGAACATCAAGAGATTCTTTTGTAACCCTTTCCAGCTTTATGCAAGTCAACAATTCTTAATCGTAGGTCTTCTTAGAGCTCTTTTGTGCGAGGCATGGTTCACATCAGGCAATGCTTCTTGAGAATAGCAAACTCAGAACTGTAGTGTGTTTTTTATAGGGCAGGGCAGCTTTAACCAACACCTCCAATCTGGTCTCATTGATTGGACTCCAGGTTGGCTGACTCCTGACTCCAATTAGCTCTGTGAGAAGTCATTAGCCGAGGGGTTCACATACTTTTTCCACCCTGCACTGTGAATGTTTACATGTTGTGTTCAACAAAAACATGAAAACATATAATTATTTGTGTGGTTTTAGTTTAAGCAGACTGTGTTTGTCTATTGTTGAGACTTACATGAAGATCAGAACACATTTTATGACCAATTTAATCAGAAAACTAAGAAATTCCAAAGGGTTCACATACTTTTTCTTGCAACTGTATGTGTAGTATATGTGTGCATGTGTGTCAGTAGTAGTGACTCCTCCCTCCCCCTCATCGCTCTCTCTCGTGTTTTCCCTCTCTCTCCTCACCTCCTCCTCCTCCTCTGTGTTTTTCCTGCTCACTCTCGGCAGGCAGAGGAGAGCACCAGCTCCTCCATTACATAGATGGAGTGTCCTCCCCCACCCGGCACACATACACACACACACACACACACACACACACACACACACACACACACACACAGTGCACTGTAGAAATCATGGAGTGTTCTTGCCTTCCTGGTAGAGCAGGCCGTTGGAGTCTCTGTGAGCTCCCAGCAGCTCTTAGTTTCTCATCCTGTGTGTGCATGATGTGATGCTCTAAAGTCAAACAGGTGAATCTGTAAGAGACCAAAATTTAATCTAAAAGTTGTTTTTTCATGTCTTCTTGGCTTTTAACCCCTTCATCACTATGAGAAGAGAGGGAACAGATCCAATCTAATGTCTGTATCGGGTCTGATATCGATGTAATTTACATATCGGACTGACGGTGCCGATCCACTTCACACATCAAGAAAGATGAATTGGAACTTCTCGTGTCTGTTAAAATCATTTAAGATTTTTTTTTGGCTTTTTCTGCCTTTAATGTAGAGATAGGACAGTGGATTGTCGGAAATCAGGGAGAGAGAGTGGGGAATGACCTGCAGGCCACAGGCCGGACTCGAACCTGGGCCGCCCGCTTGGAAGACTACAGCCTCCATACATGGGGCACATGCACTAAACACTGCGCCACCAGTGCCCCTAAAATCAGTTAAGATTTGAAAATGGTCTGGTGTGTAGCCAGCTGGAGATCCTCACCACTTGTTTGTTGATACCATGAAGACGTCCAGCTACTCAAAGCTTTGATGTTAAGGCAAAAAGGGTCAGTATGGCGTCAGACTCTGCTGCTTTGTTTGCCATTTTCTCTTTTTACGTAATTTCCTGCCGCCCTCCGGTCCAACAGGAAAGTCTCCCACTGTGAGGTGCACACTGTATGTGGAGGTGCATAAAGATATCCGGGGCTGGCTGCCCAGGAGTGTTAAAAGGCTTTAGTGCGGTGATGAAGGGATATGTAATCAGTGATGGATTCTAAATCAACATGAACAGAATCAGATGGATCTGTACATTAACCTGCACGTGTCATCATGACAACATAGACAGTATCTGACTGAATGCTAGCTGTACCTTGTGGTGTCCTGGCTGCATGAGTTTGGGGGGGGGGCGGAGGGTTGTGGTGCAGGGGGGCAGGGGGATTAGGGGTGTCTGAAATCCAGCCTGAATAACTGTGGATCATTCCCCTGCTAGCACTGTTATGTCACCATGCGGCTGTCTGCCTGGCACGGGAATGCACACCGGCTGGAGGTGACATAGACCTAAGAGGACCCAGAGCTCTAATCTGATCCCCCCTCACCTCACACTCGACATGCGTTACTGTTCACTAAGTTACGACTGAGGATAGTGAGAGACAGAATATGTAAGCTTGATGTATAAAAACATAAAACATGGAGAAGAATCGAGTGAGGAGTGGGAGTGGGAGTGAGAGAGAGTGAGAGAGAGAGAGAGAGAGAGAGAGAGTCCTCTGAGGATTCATTGCAGGGTGACCGTGTCAGGCCTAGCGGCACTGAAGGTGCACAGGGCTATTTTGGGACCTTGGTGGGGGTGTGGGGGTCAGGAGGTCATGTGGAGGTAGATAACAGTTCAGGAGTGGTGCAGGGATGTCCTTCATAGCCTACTCTCCCCCGATCACCGTCCATTTTGGTCTTTTTTTCAAGCAGGCACACAAGCACTCTCCGTCTAAAAGCAACCCCCTCTATCCCTCTCTGTTGTCTTCTCTCTCTCTCGGTGTCTTTTACTCTGCAGTGCAGGAGCCGCGCTGCCCACCAGCACACCTCCATCTCTCACTTTACCTTCAGTGCTGTCTTTACCCCACCCCCGCCTCTCACTGCTCCCGTACATGAAGAGAATCAGACAACATTAAGGGGCACAGTCCCTTCCTCTCCTGCTCCTGGGCGTCTGTTAGTGGTTACCGTTGCTATGTTTACCCCTCCTCGTCCTGTGTCCCAATAAGGCTCCTCAAAACGCCCCTAGTCTCCTCCGTAGAACGTGGCCTCAGGCATCACAATACCCAACCTGTTCTTCTATTTTCCTCCAATCTCATTAAGTCAGCCGTTGTGGCTGCTCATAAACTCCCACACAGCCTTCTCTCTCTCTCTCTCTCTCTTGCTCGCCCCTGCAGTAAAGGCCTTGGTTTGCACAGAGAGGGAAACCTTACCGTGTGTAATCAGCTGCTCTCTTTATTAAGTGTCGTTTCTCATTGGTGTTTTTTTTGTTTTTTTATCTCTCTGCAGGTCTACGCACAATGAAATGGAAAAGAACAGGTATGTTGAAATGTCTGTGTGGTAGTGTGTATTCACGTGTGTGTATTTGTGATGTCACACACATAAAATGAAGTCTCAGATGAATGAGACTTCCTGATTTGATGAAGTCAAACAACTGACATCATCAAATCAGAAAGTCAAAGGACTACTGTATGTCATGGTGAGGATATTAGCACGCTGAGCTCAACGGGCTGCTGATCCAAAGTGCAGCCTTTACAGAGCTGCTACTGACACTATTTGGATAGATTTTAAGATGTACGCACACACACCTGCACCTTTGGCTTGTCTGGTCCGCCTCGCCTCTTTTGACAATTTACTGGGGCTGCTGCACAGGGAGCACCAGAGCTTGTTGGGGGGGGGGTTGGGGGGGGGGTTCAGTGTCTTGGTCAAGGGCACCTCAGCAGTACCTGACACCTCCCCAGCCACCAGATCAACTGTAGCCACGCATCTGATGTTTCCTTGGGCAAGACACTTAACCCTAAACCTAGCAGCCTCTACCATCAGTGTGTGAATGTGTAGGTGTGACCTGCAGGCGTAAAAGAGCTTTGAGGAGTCAGAAGACTAGAAAAGAAATAAACAAACTCAAGTCTATTTGTTATTTACCAGCTTCCATCCTTTGGTCCACACCGGGACTTGAACTGTCGACACTGAGCTTCTGCTGCCTCCCCAATATTCATCAGCAGAATGTTGAAGACGCTCAGATAACATAACCCATGTTTTAAAACGCACATCGTCACCATCATCCTGAACTAAGAGTGCAGGAGAGCATCAGCAGCTGCATTAAAATATTCAAACAACGGCATAAGAAGCGCCGGTCTTAGGAGACGTCTCCACCAGAATCAGGAGGAAGAGATAAATCAGCTCAAAACAAAAACCATGTTTTTGGTTTCTCAGGCAGAGATGTCTATGGCCTGAACATAGACATGCTCCTGTCAACTGTCAGTGCTTCCACCCTGCCTGTGCTAGCTGATCCACAGCAGCAGCAGCTCGGTGGACGTTCCTGAATAATGTATCACAGCGTGCTCCTGCCTGGGATTTAGTCCTGTGCATGTTGTGGACTGCAGAGACACCTCAAGCCCTGCAGTCGGTCAGAATTACGACCACAGCCTGTCCTATTACACTTGAGAACATACATAGCCTTTGGCCAGTTTTCTCCCTCCACCAGGCGTTTGATGAGAGAGAGCAATCATAGGCACATAGTAAATTACTCTGTCTGCATGCAACCAGATCCCCCTTCCTCCTGTAAGATTGGCTCGGTTGAAATCTCCATACATACAAATTCCAATTTTGCACAAACCCCTTCTTCCCCCTCCCCCCTCCCCTCTGCTGCTGCACACAGAAACCAAAGTGTGTGCGTGTGCATCTTTGCATCCAGGAAACACGACTCCAGTAGCCTGTCACACCTTTTTTTTTTTACATGTAAAGTTCCTCCAAACTGGTCACCCGAAGTTACTGCAGGGGGGGTCAGAGGGCGAGGGTGAAGACAGTGGGGGGGATTTACTGCTGGTCAGTCAAAGTGCACCACCATGACCTCGTTTTTTTTTAGTTTGCAGTCGGTGTAGCTTTTGACAGGCGGCTAGAAGAGGAGCGATTAGGTTGCATCTGTTGTTATGCAACCAGCTCCACTCGGGATGTTCACCTTATTTTGGCTGTAACATACAAACACTGGAATAAGGGCAGAGAAATGTAGGTTTCTCGCCTGCCGCTGATCACACACACGTTTGAAGCTCCACATACATTTTCTCCCCCTATTGACACAGTGCTCTGCAGCCACACTGAACCAGAATAACCTGTAGCACTGTGTGTTTCCAGCCACGCCCCCGCAGCCACTTCCTCGCCCTCAGACGCCATGTGACCCCAAGCTATTTCATGAGTCTGCTGCTTGTCAGTGTTGTTTGACAAACATTAGCTAGCACTGCTGATCCCTTATTATGTCAGAGCAACACGGGCACGTCCATGTTATGTAATAACAGTGAGCATGCCCTTTGGACCGAGTCAGCTGAGAAACAGCCACTCGTTCTCCACCGCTGATTACTGCTCTGAATGGGCGTGCGGGGGAGTCTTTTTTCAGTGTGTGTGTGTGTGTGTGTGTGTGTGTGTTTGGAAAAGGCCATGAGGTGAGAATATATTTATTCTCCCACAGTCCAATCAGTCTCCTCCTCCTGTCCGTGTGTCTGATTTGAATAAAGTCTTTGAGGCAGTGACACTCACATCAGGATCACCTGCAGCAGACACATAAATGAGCAGCTCATCCAGCGTGTCCTCAGCTGCCCCCAAAAAAAAAACCACTTCAACACTCCCTCTCAGGACGAGTGTGACGTACACACGCCTACTCGCTGAGGCACACACACAGGCACACAGACACGTACACACTCCTGCAGCCGGAGGTGTGTGTGTGTGTGTGTTGTATAACAGCAGGGTCAAGTGGTCACAAACACCCCCCAGGACCTCGGCACACTACCCGCACTGCCAGCCTAGAGGGTCTCTGAGTTATGAGCGGGGGGTGGGGGGGGAATATTTGATCACAGCAGAATATTTGATCACACTGAAGTCACATCACGCCCCCCAGACGGACAAAGCCACATGTGCATAAGAAGAACGATCGTAGAGCTCATGCACACTTATGTCTGATATTCATTTCCATGTGCATTCATCCAGAAGCACTGCTGGTTTCTTATAACGGCTGAAGAACCTGAACCTGTCTGTAGCTTTAAGACACAAGTCTTTAAAAATCTGCTTGAATATCAAAGGCTTAATATGTGATTTTTCATAGAAATCAAGTATCTCCTCTGAAAATAACTCTGTGAGTCATGACTGTCTACAATGGGTGTAACACCCGTGTCCCACTGTCTGTGATGTTTTCAGAGTTTTCAGAGTCCTATCTTCACTTTGTTTACATCGCCTGGACGGCCGGCTGACTCCTCCCCTCACATATAAAAGTTGTTTAATTGAGGGACTAGAGAAAAGAAGAATAACATACTGTACTCACTGCTTAACTGTGTTTCTAGATCACGCTCATTTCAGTAAATTTACATGCAGTGTGAAGATACCAGCATAATAAAGATCGCTAGCATTAGCATGCTAACACAACAATGCAGCGCAAGTTGTTTTGGTTTCATGCTGGTGCTCAAGGGCGACATCTGCTGGATCAAAAAATCACATATAAAGCCTTTAACCACATGTAACATTTGAATGCAGGGCGATACTCTAATGCAAAGGGTTCATTTGATTGGTCGAGACAGAAAGGGGTCATTTTTGGTGCATTTAGGTGTTGTCGGATACATCGGAAAAACAAGTTTCCGAGTTGTAAAATGCACATGAACGCCTGCTCAAGTCGACCAACAACTCGGAAACTCGGAAAATAATCAGGTACCTGACTTCCTGACTTGACGTCACAATCGTCATCACGTGGGGGGCAAAATATGTTTAGTTAATGGTATACTTTTTATTAATTCACGTATTGCACATCAGCTTTTTGCTCAACAGTCACATTCCACTGATCTTCTTCGTAGCATCAACACTGTTTTTCTGCTGTTGGTACGACATTCAGACTTGGTGCCGAGCAGCACCTGAATGCAGCATACGATGCTGTTCATTTGTGTGTGGGCGTTCACATACCTGAGGCCACCCCTCCATACGTCGGGCTTCTTGAGAAAATGTCTGATGTTTGGACGTCGTCTCCACATAGAAACAACCACCACATAACTCTCTCATTTATTAAAAAAATCCCATAAACAAGCACACACACATTTTGTTTTCACACGCGCACACATGACAGATGGCACTTCAGTGAACACACCTGCTTAGCTTAAATGAAGGTCTGTGAGCTCGAGATGGCATATCATGGTCCTGATCAGCAGGAAGTTCTGAAGCTCAAACGTAGTTCAACAGATTCTCTTTAGAAAACTGCATCCAGAAAGCTGCAGGTAGAAAAGTTGGGAGGAGGAGTTTAATGTCAAACGTCTACTCATAAATCCATGATTCACCTTCCATGTTTTTTTGTTTTTTTTAGTGTATCTGATGTGAAAGAAGTGATTTGAGTTTAACGTTTAGTTCTCTGTGATTCTTCTCCTCCACAGACGGGCAAATCTACGGCTGTGTTTAGAGCGCTTGAAATCCCTCGTTCCCTTAGGACCCGATGCTAACAGGCACACCACGCTCAGCCTGCTGATGAAGGCCAAAGATCATATCAAGGTGTGTGTATACGTGTGTGTGTGATTTGAACTCACCTTATCTGTGTGAAGAGGTCAAGTTGGTGGTGGATGAGTATGTCAGCATTTGTGTTTGAAGATTAAATATCTGAGATAAGCTACTGGTGGAGAACACACACACACACACACACACACACACACACTCTCCTGACGTGTTGTCTCTGTATCTCTGCTCCGCTGTAGAGGTTAGAGGAGGGCGATAGGAGAGCTCAGCACACCTTGGAGCAGCTACAGCGGGAGCACAGACACCTGAGGAGGCGTCTGGAGCAGCTGGGCGTGGAGAGGACCCGCATGGACAGCACCGGCTCCACCCAGTCCGACAAGTCCGACTCTGATCAAGGTTAGTCACACCTCACACGGACACGCACCAATAATACACACACAATGCTTTAACCATTAACTTGTCCATGAAGAAGTCGCAGCAGGATGACAAAGTGCACAAATGAATCACACAGATGTGTAAAATGGTTTGTTGTTCCCTGTGCTCAAACAGAGGACCTGGACGTGGACGTGGAGGGGACGGACTACCTGCTGGGTGACCTGGAGTGGAGCACCAGCAGTGTGAGCGACTCAGGGGACGAGCGGGGCAGCCTGCGCAGCAGCTGTAGTGATGAAGGCTACTCCAGCGCCAGCCTGCAGCGCCTGCAGGACACTCAGGGGACAGACAAGCAGCTGGGCTGCAGCCTATAGACAGCACCGGTCACCAAGCCAAACAACAACCTCCTCCCCTCAGCCAGACCTCACCCACGTTGTCTCCCTGTTTCCTGAACCCCCCCCCTTTCTCCCTTCCCACCAGGACCGATCGAGTCCAGCCAGGGTCCTGCAGACTTACTGTCCTCGTTTTGACTTCCGTTCAGACTGCAGCTCCTCCAGTGAGACGGCCGCCACATCCAGCACATCATCAGCGGTCTCTCTTTAGGGTGTCACCACCATTCAATCAAAGGAGGATTTTAAAGACAGCCCCCCCCCTTCCCCCCCGCCGCCCGTCCCCTCCCTCCGTCCCTCCATCAGTCCTTCAGAAACACAACTTTCAGCCTTTCAGAGAATGTTACCACACAATCCCTCTGCCTCTTTTTCTATGCCTCAAGAGCCATGGGAAGCACTTATGAGATTTCACCCTTACTGAAAACACACACACACACACACACACACATACACACACACACACACACCTGCATCGCTCCTAGTTGTCCTAGTGAGAAAGAGTCGTCCCAAAGGTGTGACACTGAGGTGATGCGGGGCCTTTTTTTCTGCCCTGCTCACCATGTGCATGATCTTTTGCACTTAAAATAGATTTTTTTAGTTTTTTTTTAATAATTGCTGTATCTTAATAACTAAAGCCACTCCCCCCTCCCTACAGCTGTGAAGATGAAGCGTCATCTGCAGAGTTTGATGTCACACTGTCGGGGCCGACAGCAATATATATCCTTTTAGTATTGAGGCTTTTGGTGGGCAGACGTGTAACTAGCCCGTCATTTACCGTCAACACTCGGCATCCAGAGAAAACAAAAAAGAAGAGAGAAAAAAGTGCAGCATGAGATTGTGTATGGGTTCGGGGGAATATGTGGGAGGGTAAAGTGGGTGGGTTTGATGTTTTCTGCCTCTCTCTGATGACGGTGGCGTTTTTAACTGCATCCTTTTCTCATAGCGTGTGTATGACTGGTTACAACAGGGGTCACTAGCCGGGTTTGGAAACGAGAAACACCAGCCGCCCAAGCCGAACGCCGGTATATTTAGGCAGGTGCTGGTACATTTTTGGTACACTACTTCTTCACTGCCCCATTCAGCAGGTATTAATAGAAAAGAAAAAGGACAGCAGAGCCGAGAGAGGCTGGAGCACATTCCATTATGTAGAGAGGACGGCCAGGTGAGAGCCAGACGAGAGCATTATTTTCTGACTGGATGTTCCTGCCAATTATTTATGAAGGGAGAGTTGAGTCTGAGGCGAGCCGCGTCAGCCTAAAAAAAAAAAAAGAACCAGAAGGCTGTGACTGTTCATTGGGAACAAGCGAGATGTTTTCCCCCTGAAGAGCGGTTTAAAAGTGCGAGCCACAGATCGGCCTCCTTTGCCTTGCCTACATAGCTATTTATTGTTTGTGCAGAGATGTACGCCGTGTAATGTAAATAGTTAAAGAAAAGATCTCTATGTCTATCAACAAATGTATTTATTAGATCGACTTGGATATATAGATGAATATAGTATATGGATATATTTATTAGACAAAAGCTTTTTGTTCTTGTGAGGTTTCTTCAGAGTTTTCCCGCGTGTAGTTTGTCCGCACAGCCTCGTCCATCTATCGAGTATTTAGAAACGTCTTTTTGTGCCTCGAGGTTTTTTGGTGTCTGTTTTTGGATGTCGGCGCGGCGCTCCGAGAAAACGAAACACTTTCTATGTGATTGACCTTCAATTTTTGTTTTTTTGGGGTTGTTTCAAAAGCCGCTCGGCTTCTATAACTGGGAATAAAAGGACAAAAAAAAATCTGAATAATTTATGAAAATGTGAATTAAAAAGTATAAAAGTGAGCGGAGGTGGCGGTGGGTGCTGTGAGGTGGGGCGCTGCCTCTGGTGTCTATCTCTGTGCTGAGGATTCTGAAACAAGATGGCTGAGATTTTTTAAGCGCCTTCGGTTCTGATACGTAACGTCCGGGTGGAGGACTGCAGCTCCTTTTTGAATGTACAGTAGACGTGGTGCAGCGTAGAGCCACAGGACGCTCCCCCGCTCCACCTCCTGCTCTAAAGCATGAGAAGAAACCAGAAAAATAGTTAAAGGATTGTTTAGTCTTTGAGTGTGGAATGCTGCTTATATTTTTTGTGTCGAACTGAAAATGTTTTTTAAGCAGAGAGGGGGTACTGTTTGGCTGCATAACGAGAGGGGGTGGGGGGCTACAGGGGAAATGTATTTAAAGTGAGGTGTGAGAGGGCAGGTGTGTTCACTGAAGCGCCATCTGTCAGTGCGTGTGTGTGTGTGTGTGTGTGTGTGTGTGTGTGTGTGTGTGTGTGTGTGTTGTGGTTGAAATAAATTGTATGGCTATGTTTCTGTTTTATGAGTTTAATAGTCAATGCAAAAAAAAAAGACTTAACCTAAGCATTAACGTCTGTCCTCGGGAGTCTCCACTTTTCTCCTTTTCACCCGGTCCTTTGTCTGTCTTCCACCAGTACAGTGTGTGTGTGTGTGTGTGTGTGTGTGTGTGTGTGTTGTGTGTGGTGTGTGTGTGTGTGTGTGTGTGTGTGTGTGTGTGTGTGTGTGTGTGTGTGTGTGTGTGTGTGTGTGTGTGTGTGTGTGTGTGTGTGTGTGTGTGTGTGTGTGTGTGACTCCCTCCTCCAGATGCTACGTTGGCATCTGTGGTGGGGGGCGGTGCATGTGTCAATGATGCAACCATTGCTCCTCATCTCCATCCCCCCCCCCCCTCCAAAGACCCTGGTGCTCTCAGCTCATGCTTAGAAGCAGGTGTGGAAACTCTCAAAGAACCAGACTTCTTCAGTCAGACCAGTTGTTTAAGCTACCGGTTTCAGCATCAGGGGGGAAAAGTCCTCTTCATGTGTATATTTTGAGTTTTTATGCACAATGTCTCCCTGCGTCCAAAGCGGCTAACGACGCCTTAAAAAAAACAGACGCACATGTACAACCTATATGAGAAGGAAAAAGATACATGAGAGTGTGTATGATCTGTTTCAACGAGGGGCAATTCCTTTTTTTTTTTTTCATGTGGCGGTCTCAGGCGTGGTGCTCTTCATGCATTTCACAGTTTTAACACACAAACACTCTGTGCACCACAGCTCCATGAACATCCTCGTCGCCTGCCTTTTTTCTCCGCAGGAAGGTCAAAACGTCTGTTTAATAAAGGAGGGCGTTTTTGTGCACTTACTTTTTAAAGAATTGGAGAATTTGGACACTGTCCTCTTGAAAAAATGTTGGCAACAAACCCTTTGAATATGAATTGTGGAGCAGCAATTTGTATTAAGCGTTGATATGAAAAGAATAAAAGATTTGAAACCCTTGTTTACCTTACCTATCACCTCTTCTGTGTCTTTATTTACGGACAAAAGCATGAACCGTTCTTAAATCCATGCAACAAATGATTGCTTCAACCCCACCCACCAGCTCCTCGCACAATGAGTAATCTTCATGTCGAGGTGGAATCGACAGTAATGAGGAGGGCAGATGAAAGAAAGAACAGTGCGGCGCGGGGGGGGGGGGGCTTCAGAGTCCTGTTTGTGCTTCAGAGTAATCTGCTGGCTGAAATCCCAGGTTTGTGGGATAATAGCTATCTGACTGCTGCTCAATATCCAACACAAACAAAGCATGGAGAAGATGAAGAGAGAGAGAGAGAGGGGGGAGGATGAGCTTCTTGAAAAGCATCCCACATCCTTTCTGAGGTTGTTGAGGGGGAGGGGTGCCAAATGAAGGATTTTTCTTTCCACCATGGGGAGCCCTGAAACGCCCGGTGGGCTCCAATAGCATTTCAATACGACGTATGATCTCAGATTCATATCTCACACAATGATTGACCTTTTTAGGTGCCATTTTTCACCTTTTTCAACTGCACACAGCGAGCGCTCCTGAGCTGGTGGTGGGAGTCGATGCCTCAGAAGGCCTCGGGAAGTGAACTGGCACCTCTCCAGCTACTAGACCAATTTCCAGATTGCATGTAGAAGATATCAATACTCCTTCTGTTTACTACCAGGTTACAAAAGCTGTGGATTTCTAATCAGTTTTTATCTCTATTTCATTTTGACTTTTTGTTTTCAGTTTAAAGGCAGGGTTGGTAATTTTACCAAAACTAGCATGATTTTGAAAGTAGCATTCCCTCAGTGCTCCGTCTGCACCTCACCCAGAGAACAGGATAAAATTGTCCTTTGCTTGAGCTGCAATCACCTGTGTCCTGCATTGTTGTGTTAGCATGCTAATGTTAGCGCTCCTTAGTTAGCTCGTAGCTTCACATTTCATGTAAACTGACACAGAATGAGCGTGATCAAATAATCAGTGAGTATGTTCTTCTTCTTCTCTCTAGTTCTTGACTAAAACAGCTTTTATACACAAGGGGAGGAGCCGACCGTCCCGTCCATGTAAACACGGCTCTAACAACAACACAGCCAGCGGGACTCAGATTTATTTATGTGGAACATGTTGCATGTTCTTCCTTTAAGTTTTAAGTTTTAATTTCAATCTTTTTCATAACCAGCTAAAAACTGCTCACAGAAGCGTTACCTGTTTATCTATTTGCCTAAAGTGCAGGTATAAATAATCCCTTTCACAACCTGCTGCCACTAAAAGACACACCTTAAATTTAATCTGCACATGAAACACGAGACGCCCACCGCAAAACCAAAGCACAACACGCTCTAGCTGAGCGTATTGACATAACCTACCTGTCTGTGTGTGTGTGTGTGTGTGTGTGTGTGTGTGTGTGTGTGTGTGTGTGTGTGTAGAAATGTTATTGACAGAGTTGTGTAAGATAGCGTGTGTGTTTGTTTGTCAGTAAATGTGTGTCACGGGCCTACTGACCCACCTCCCCTAGTCTTGCTTTTCAAGACTGCCCTGACCAATCATACACATCCCCATAGAAACACACACACACACACAAACACACACACGCATGCATGCAAATTAAGCCGAGCAGAAACCTAAAGCAGGGAACACACCCTCTCTATGACACGCAAACACACACTGCAGTGACACACTGGAACAACAATGGCGTGTGCCATGAAAACACACAACAACACTGAGCCTTTGGGAACAACTGAGTGTGTACAAGGCAATGCAATCACTTACAGGCCTCACGTAATGGAGGGAGATCACACAGGCCCTGCCCTCTCTCCTACCACACTCATGACAGATGCATGAAGGTAGTTGGACAGCAGTAGAAGCTGGATTACATTAAGATCTATTTGCAGTCATGTTATGCTACTTTTTTTAATGACATATTTTTATGACAACACAATCCAAACAAAACTGAAAACCCACAACCCAACCCATGGATATACCTCCCCACAACCCCCACCAACAGCAGTACACACAAACCCTCTCACAACCAGAGAGAAGGAACACAAATTACCTATAATTAATCTAAACCCTGAGCCAAGGACACAATAGCACATATCAGTTTAAATTGTCCATATGTTATTGCTACATCCAAGCTGTCCACAATGGAAACTTCCATAAATAAGCAAATGAAAGAGATCAATCCATATATACATGTAGGTACAAATGCTGTCAAGATGAGTCCAAAGGACCTCAAGATTCTCCACATTTACACTTTGAATTATTAGTTTGTAGTTTCTCCATGTGGATCACTGAAACCAGTCCATAGCAGCAGGCCGTCCCAACCAACGATCCAGAGGAACCTACCAGAGCTCAGGAGCTCCCAGGAAAGAGATAGAGAGAGATAGGAGCTCAAGGTGCCAGTTCCCCCGGCAGTCTCAGTCTATAGCGACAGAACTCGGAGGTGGTCAAAACACCAGGGGAAAAAAAGGGCCATTATCATTGTGTACATCTCTCTGGATAGCACATGACTTTTTTCCATATATGTAAATCACGATAGGACAGATTTTGCATCCTCCTTAGAACCTGGGAACTACAGTGAAAGTGATAATGTTATACATCTTTAGTTTAGTCTGTCTGTTGTTGTAAAGATAAAAATGAATAAATGACATCAAATCCAACGAGTGTCTAAAGCTTCCTTAAACATGAACCTGCATGTAAAGATTACAGTCATTTTTAGAAAATACACACAGAAAAGATCAGTGGGGATTCTAGAGTTTGTTGGGGCCTGAGGCAAAAATCACTTTGGGGGCCCTCCAATTGATTTTTGGGGTCTCCTTCGGGAGGTTTCCTACCGTCATTGCAACATTTGCACATTTTTGGCCGTTGGGGCCACCTACTGGTCTGGGGCCCCAAAGCAGTTGCTTGCCTTGCCTGTTGATGAGCTGCGCCTCTGGAAAAAGATGGTGTAGTGTTAGCATCTTTTAGCTC